CACCCAGGTGCCCCTATATTCCCTCTAATTCTGCTTGCACACTGAACAGTTTCTCCTTGAGCTTATTTCTTTCTCTAGGAGAGAATTTCCTTACTCAGCTTGTCGGATACATTTTCTACTTTCTGAGTTATTGCAGGCAACCTTTTGCTCCTGAGACTACAGTCTCTTCTGGCAGCTTCCTCACTATGTGTCCAGGAGTTTGGGGTTATTTATGGCAGACCTTACTTCTAGTATCAACTTCTAGATCAGTTGTTTATGGCAGCTTAACAAACCTCAAAATGTAATGGCTTTAAGTGTTAACCATCCCTTTGCTCACAATTCTGTGGGTCGGCAGTTTGGGCTGGGCTCAGCTAGGCAGTTTTCTGCCAGCCTCATCTGGGGTCACTGGCATGACTATATCAGCTGGTAGATAGGCTGGGACTGGACTGTCTTATGGCCCCATTCACATGCCTGATATTGGTGTTGGCTAGCTCCTGGGCCTCTCTCCCCATTGTCTCTCACCGTCGAAGAGGCTAGCCTGGGCTTCTTCACAGGGGTGGCATTCAAAGAGGGCAAGAGTGGGAGCTGTAGGGTGTCTCCTGGCTTAGGCCCAGAAGTCTATGTCATTTCTGCTACATTCTATTGGTCAAAGGAAGTGGTTGCAAAGCTGGTCCAGATTCAAGGAGTAGGGAAATACACTTCACCTCTCAGTGGGAGGATTGGCAAAGGGGTGTGTATGGGGGCATCTGGTTGGCTCAGTCAGTAGAGCATGCAACTGTTGATCCTGAGGTTGCGAGTTCAAGCCCCGTGTTGGGCATGGAGCCTACTGAAAACAAAACAAAACAAAACAAAACAAAACAAAACAAAACAAAGACAAAGGGGAGTACATGAACAGAAATGGGGGAATAATCTCAGCAATTTTTGCAAGCCATCTACTACAACTGCAGTCTTGACATAATGTTCCAAGCCCATCTGTCCCCTCCCAACTCTACATGTCGCATAAAATATTCTTCCTCCTCATACTTATTTTTTTTAAGTTTATTTGTTTTGAGAGAGAGAAAGAGAGAGCAGGGGAGGGACAGAGAGAGAATCCCAAGCAGGCTCTGTGCTGGCAGTGCAGAGCCTGATGAGGGACTCAAACTCATGAAATGTGAGATCATGCCCTAAGCTGAAACTAAGAGTCAGATGCTTAACAGACTGAACGACCCAGGCTCCCCTTCCTCCTCGTATTTATTAACCTGTACACCATTATCTGAGCTTCTCCTACCTCACCTCCTTATTCAATTCCCCTATTGGTTGCCTAGCTTAAATGTATTCAGGCATCAACTTAAAGCCAAAACTCCACTGTGTCTCTCCCCATTCCACACCTTTCTCATGAAAAGCCAATAAAAACGTGAGGCCTTGCTGTAGTAAATTCTCTCAGGTACTCCTGTCTCTTTTTCCTAAGAGTCTACACATACAAGTCACTGTTTAACTTCCTGGGTATTATATTTTACTGTCTGATGTCTTAGTCATTTCCAGCACCCTGGGGATAAAGTTGGAAGTAGGTAAGAATTATTATCCCTGACATACTGCCGAGTTTGTGGCTTAGTTAGAAATAAAACCAGCCCCTCCTGATTCCCCACTGCCTCTCCTACTCGAGTTAGAATGTGAATAAAATGTTGTATTCAAATTCATGGATATTCTGATAATTATGAAATTACTCAGTCAACCAATTGTTAGTGAATCTCTGGGTAGTGAATTTCTGGTTTACATCGTGAAGCCATTTTCTGAAGGTATCAAAACAAATCGGTCACGATGATTAAAAATGTTGATAAGGAAATCCTGTTTCATAAAGATGAAATGATTTCAAACCTTTAGAAATCAACTGGGAAGTTTGGGGTGTTATAGGGGAATAACGAAAAAGTCCCATTTGATGGATGATACAGTATGCTATTTTCCAATTCCTCCCAAAAAAAAGGAGAAGGAGAAGAGGAAGAGGAAGAGGAAGAGGAAGAAGAAGAAGAAAAAGAAGAGGAAGAAGAAGAAACCCCCAAACACTCTCTACCCGAAAAAGCCTCAATACTGCTGAGTTTTTCTGTGTACCTGACTGTCCTTGCTCCATATTCCCAGCCGCTTTTTGTGATCCAAATGTCTGTTTACTTTCAGAAGAAACATGCACAAAGAAACACTGAAGGGCACCTCTTTCAACATTGACCTTCACCAACATTTTGGTTCGTTCAGTTCAGCTTCTCTTTACTAAGAAACAACCGGCAACCCACAGCCTGTAAGGGGCCATGGAGAAGGCAACAGGCATGAGAACAACTAGGAGGCTACCCTTGTGTGCCCTTGGACAAGCTCTCTTGCTTCTCCGCAGGCAGGAGTTAGGGTCTCCCTTTTCCCAGGCAGCTGTACTGTGTGCACAGGCACGTACAGTGTGGTGGGTAAAGCCTGGACTCAGGAGCTTGACTGCCTGTGTTTTGAAGCTGTGATCGTGACTTATGAGCTGTGTTATTTTGGGCAAGTTGCCTAACCTGTCTGTGTCTCAGTTTCTTCATCTGTAAAATGGGAGTAATAATAACAATACCTCCCTCTCTGTGTTATTGTGAGGATTGAAAGATAAGAAGAGTGCTTAGCACTCAGAAATGTTATACATACTCAATAAATTAATTAAGAAAAAGAAGACATTTTAAAAGGCTCTTCTCTTTGATGGATCTGTGCATACAAAGGGAATATTGTTAAATATAATTAAAATATCCAATGACTGTGAAGCTATGTTGTGAAGAGGGGCTTTGTTTCCTACCTAGTGTCCTTGTTAAGAAAAACTGTTTTCTGGGGTATAAGATAAGATTGTCTGCCACTTGGACCAGGTCTCTCACAAGGCCAGACAACTCTGCAGTTTACATTTTCCTGTAAAATGGGTGTGGGGTTTAGTGTGAGGGTTAGAAGAGACAAATCAGTAAAGCACTTCACACCTGGATCCATAAGATGTGTTATTATTATTATTACTACTATTACTGGAAATGTTTCCCCTCATCCCAGATCACGTTGTCCAGACTGAATCTCTGTGAAAGCGGGAATGTTATCCTGCTCCCTCTTTCAGCCTCCTACAAAGGTCATTTATGTTAATCAGCAGGTGATAGTTGTTGATAATATAACGATGATATGCTAGAAATTCTGGAATTTTTTTGGAGGACCAGAGAAAGAGCAAGAAGAATCCTGGCCCGGAATTCCAGAAGATCCATCCTGAGGCCAAAAGGGAAGCAAAGGTATGGAGCCTCTGCTTTCCATATCCAAAATTCTTTGGTCAAGAGCCCCATTCTTGATCAAAGGGAGCTATTAATAACTGATTTATGTTACTGTTGAAATATCAGCTCTGTGTTCTTATATTTAAACTTTGTTTTTTTTTAAGACCCATTTTCTAGCTTTACATGAACAATAATTAGCGTTAATGAATGAACTGTCTCACACACAGAGTCCCATTCTTGGCCTTGCCACTGAGTTGCTGGGAAAATCACCTGGCTTCTCTAGGTCCTGGTTTCCTTATTTGACAACTATGAGGGTATCCTGAAGGACTTCTTTACCTCCGAGATGCCTGGGGAAGGAGGAAGGTCCCAGATGGAACTGGTTCCAGCCAGGTCATCCACCACTCAATACTGGAAAGGAAACCAAACAGCCAAAATGAGGAATTTCCTTTCAACAAATATCTTGTAATTATGCTGATTTTTAAGCCACATAATCAGTCTAAAAGCAAATCCCATCTCAATGGAATTTATAAAAGGATTAGGAAATGGAGAAAATGGGGGCATGTTGGCAAGCCCATTTGATTTAATTTAAGCCTATTTCCCTTGTCCTTTACTATTTTTTAACCAAATAGGGTGGAGAGCACAAACAAGTCATTGGCTTCCATGCCTGCGTTTAATTTTCTCTTTTCTTGGCTGGTTAGTAGCTGACCTACTTTTAAGGGGCTCATCCCTTCAGTTCTGATACCGAAGGTACAAGAATAAAGAATCGCTTTGGGAGCGGCCTGTGTTGATACCCGAACAAGGAAAACCTCAGTAGGAAAAGACACAAGGACTTTTCTAGTCTCGATCTGGAAAAAAGGATGCAGGCCTCTTTGTCTCAGTCGTGCTGTGGGCTTGGAATCTAAGGCGGTCTTCTGCTTTGCTCTCTTTTATTTTTGCAGGTAATGGCACATTCCGAATAATCAGGCTGTCCAATGAAATTCCAATCCATCTGATTAGCGCAGAGACAAGTTCATATGCCTTTTTGTCACTGTGGATTGAGTGGATTAGCTGTCAATTTATCCAAAGTCAGCCACATCCTAACCTCCTCCCTGAGATCTGGCCAAACTCTGGGTCACGTTGTCCTGTACAAAAATAAAGCAGTGAAAAGAAACAATGTCCAGCTTTTCATCTTTGGCTTTGGCTTTAACCTTGGAGATAGGACACTAATTGATTTCAAAATGGCACGGACATTTGGGTAGTTCTTCCAGGTGTTCAAGCACCTTTATGTGCATGAAATAAATGTATCCCTGCAACAGTTCTCCCAGGCAGGTCCTGTTAGCAAACTTCTTTTTTTACTTTTATTTCTTATTTTTTAAATGTTTATTTATTTTTGAGACAGAGAGAGAGAGAGAGAGAGAGAGAGACAGAGTGTGAGTGGGGGAGGGGCAGAGAGAGAGGGAGACACAGAATTCGAAGCAGAGTCCAGGCTCTGATCTGTCAGCACAGAGCCTGACGCTGGGCTTGAACTCACGGATGTGAGATCATGACCTGAGCTGAAGTCAGATACTTAATCGACTGAGCCACCCAGGGACCTCTGACCTTCTTCCCCCCCCCCCCCCCCCAGATAATTCACTTGTAAATGCTTTAGGATTTTCAAACTGTAACTTTATTTTTTATTGTAGTACAGTGACATGTGTTGCTACATTAGTTTTAAGCATACAGCACAGTGATTCAACAACTCTGTACCTTATACTATCCTCACTGCAAGTTTAGCTACCATCTATGACCATACAACGCTTTCACAACATCACTGACCATATTCTCTGTGCCGTACCTTTCATCCCCAGGATTATTCATTCCGTAACGGAAGCCTGTACCCCCGGCTCCCCTTCACTCATTTTGCCCATGTCCCCAGCCCCCTCCCCTCTGGCAGCCATCAGTTTGTTCTCTGTATTTATGAGCCCGTTTCTGCTTTCTGTTTGTCAAACCACAACTTCAATGCTTTCGGGAAATTTTGGTGTTGTCATCGCGAGTTTTAAATAATCGAATTGCGATCTGTAGTTTCAGTGGGTTCCCCGAGGTTTGGGGCTACTCTGCAGGCCACGAAGGACCCTAGGTCTCAGTCCCAGCTCATGGGTGACGCCGAGGTGTTCTGGCCCCGCATGATACCAAGTCAACTCCAGATGAACTCCTGAGCCTTGGAACCTCAGCTTCTCTCCCTTCTGTAAATCTACCGATGCCCTCATCAGAGTGCTTACTTTATAATATTTTAATCGCCTGCTGGCCTGCCAGCCTCCCCTCTGTGAATTTAGGGCAGGAAGTGTTTCTATCTTTGCTTTATTAATGCCCAGAAGAAGCGTCTGACACATCTGGGAACTTGACAAATGTCTGTCAAGAAACAAATAAACAAATGAGTTCCCTTTACTAAGCAGATTCCAAGGCCTACAAAATATTTTACAGGTATAGCAATTATTATTTTTTAAGTATCTTAGTGTAAAAATTAGAATTTTGACGACTCCTGATAAGAAGTATTAAGAGTTTTTGTGTATGAAACCATTCATTTTTTTCCTTAGGCAAATGTTGTCCAGTCACTCTGATCTAAGCCTCGGAATCTTATCAATCAACAAATATTTGAGTATCTAGTATATACAAGACACTGTGCTAGGCGCTGTAGGGGATCAAAGAAATCTAAGAGGCGAGCCCTTCTCTCAAGGAATTTATAACTTTGTGGAAGGCTTGGCTTTTCTTTGTCCACTCAAAGTTTTTTCCATGGAGTTTCTCATACAAATAACAGTTGGGGGGTTGGGAAGAACCAGAGGGAATGTGAAGATGTTTTTCAGAAAGCCGTCCAATTGTCCATGTAGGGTCTTATAGTTCAAGGCTTTCAGCTACGGCTGGTCGGGGAGATGAGTGTATCCCTTAGAAGTTAATTCTCCAGATAAATAAGAGGGTCACTGCAGAAGCCTACATGTCACAAAATGCAGGAGATGGGGAAGTGCGGGGAAATAACCACCCTTTCATCTTCAAGGGGAGAGAAAGTATTGCCTGGGTCCAGGACAAGCAAGCCATAAATTTCAGGCTTGACCCTAGCAGAGCTGCCTAGTAACTGTGGCCCAAACCGCTGTCAAGACTGAGTCACTCTCGAGGCATGAGACACGAAGGAGGAGAATCTCTTCTCTACAGCCAGGGGCAGCCAAGTTCCCATGGGCTGACCCTGTCTCTCTTGCATCCAGCTTTCTCAACGGTTCCAGCATCAGAAAGTGACAAAGAAGTCAAAACCCAGTGGTGACAGCCAAGAACATCTCACACACCAGGAGGAAAGGGTCCTCCTGCAGCCAGAACTTGTTGTAAAATTCCCAGAGCCAGACAGAGAGAAGGAGCAGATTTCTTTGGGGTTCTGTTGTTTATACTTAAGTGTTTGGTCTTAGAAGACCACAATGGTCCTGTAAAGGCCTTGCCATTAGAGATTACAAAGGGAGCTTCTTTGGTGTAGCCAGACACATCATTTGTTTCTATTTATTTCCTTTTCGGTGTCTTAGCTTTTCTATTCTGACAGTATTAGAGGCCTTCTATATGGTTCTGTGTCTCAGAATCTGCATGTATTTTGAACAACGAAGGTCAACATTTATTAAGTACTTACTACTGCCAAGCGCTGTTGTAAATGCAACAGCCCTGTGTGGTGGGTACTATTATCGTTGCCATCCCCATTTTACAGGTAGGAGCTGAGTACAGCTGGTAAGTGGTGAAACTGGAATTTGAACCTAGGTCATGTGTCTCCAGAATCTGCTCACATAACCACTAAGTTATAGTGACTTTTATTTTATTTATTTATTTTTTTAATTTTTTTTTCAACGTTTATTTATTTTTGGGACAGAGAGAGACAGAGCATGAATGGGGGAGGGGCAGAGAGAGAGGGAGACACAGAATCGGAAACAGGCTCCAGGCTCCGAGCCATCAGCCCAGAGCCTGACGCGGGGCTCGAACTCGCGGACCGCGAGATCGTGACCCGGCTGAAGTCGGACGCTTAACCGACTGCGCCACCCAGGCGCCCCTATAGTGACTTTTAATAGCATGTATGGGATAGGTATGTATGGGAATTTTCTACCATGCTGTAGAAAATTCTTTCAGAAAGTGTCCTTGGAGACTCAAATTCTGAGGGCACAAAGTCAAAAGGGATTAGTGGAGCACTTCTTATCCTGCCTGTCACAGTCCAAGTTAGAGGGTAGAGGCCAGCCACACATCCCCACATGTAGCCTGCCTGACGTGCTCATGGAGAAACAGAGCCTGCCTACATTGGAACTGAGAGATCACTGGGCTATGTGTGTAGTGGGAGTTAGAAGCAGGTACCAAACACTAGGGAACAAGATAAGTCAGCATTGGTGGATATAAACTATGGAATTCTGTGCAGCATTTAGAAGTAAAGAATTTGATATAGATGTACCAACATATATTTTTATGTTGGTATATAGAATTGATTGAAACAGTAAGAAACAGAACAAGGTGTCAAATTACTAACATTAAGGCAGATTCAAAATATGTACACAAATGGGCACAAAGTATTTTACAAAGACACATATGCTTGGGAGCCTAAGAAAGGGAAGAGAGAGACTGGGAATGAGAATCTGAAAAAATAATTCATAAAAAAGAAAGGAGAAAAACAAAGTCTGGAAGGGGATAAGACACAGGTGGTATAGGAGAAAAGTGCAAAGACTCTGGGATTAGGTAGATGGGGTTCCAATCCTGGTTCCATATGTATTTGTTGGGTGGCCTTGGGTGGCCTCCCAAAGATTAGATTTACTAAGTTGCAAAATATTTGGAAATAACATCTAATTCATAAGGTTGAAGGGAATAACGTACGCAAAGCTCCTTTCATGTAGTACTTGGCCCAGAGTATATATAGCAAGCCCATAGTAAACAGTTAACTACCAACTCTGCTATACTGGTGATCAGAACAAAGGAAGGGGCACTTGGGTGGCTCAGTCGGTTAAGCCTCCCAATTTGTCTTAGGTCATGATCTTGGGTTTGAGCCCCGGGTGATTCAGGCTCTGTGCTGTCAGTGCAGAGCCTGCTTCGGATCCTCTTGTCCTCCTCTCTCGGCCCCTCCCCTGCTCACGCTCTCTGTCTCTCAAAAATAAACATTAGAAAACAAAAACAAAGGAAGTTCCTGCAGTCCGGTGGAAAAAATAATCTTAAACACATAATTATATGAGAAAATTTAGTGATAGAATTTGGTGCTACTAAGGAAAAGGTACATATAGAGTGCGATGAAATAATTTCCAAAGTTCTGGGGGCGCCTGGGAGGCTCAGTCTGTTGAGAGTCTGACTCTGGCTTAGGTCATGATCTCATGGTTTGGTTTGTGAGTTTGAGCCCCACATTGAGCTCTGTGCTGCTGTCAGCTCAGAGCTGCTTTGGATCCTCTGACCCCTTCTCTCTCTGCCTGTCCCCCGCTCATGCTCCCTCTCTCTCTCTCTCTCTCTCTGTCAAAAATAAATTTAAAAAACATTAAAAAAAGTTCTGAACTTATTCTGGGGCCTTATTGTTAGGACTTGAAAGATACTTAAGATGCTGAATAATTTAAGAGTCAGATTGAAGAAACCAATCATGAACACTTACACAACAGTGTTTGAGGATACCCTGAGTGCCAGCAGGAGTGGTGATGCCAGGCAGCAAATGTGTGCCGAGGGCCAACCAGCACAGCATTCAGAGGAGGGCAGAGGTCTCAGAGAGCGCCTGGAGCTGGGGTAGCCTGTGGGCTAGTAGCAGGGGTGGAGGGCTGGAGGAAAGTGCAGACATAGTAAGTGCTGGAGGCAAGAATATGCAAGGTCTGCCTGCGGACTGGGAGTAGACCCCTTGGCCAGAGAAGGAAGCCCAGTTCAAACCATGCCCCCTTTTGATAAACATAAGAATCTTATGCCCTTCCCCCCACCCCCACCCCTAGAGATACTGATCTACTTTAAATTGGGCTGGTCCCTGGTTATCTTCTGTGGATCTCCATTGGCCAAGCTTTTATTGAGCTTTTCTTTCTGAAATTTATATTGGGACAGCAATAGGCATTTCTTCTCATTTTTCACATATGAAATAATCATACTAACTATGCCTTTCGAGTTATATCTCCCCCTCCCCCTGATTTTCCCTTTGACCACTGATTGTAAAAAAAAAAAAAAAAAAAAGTAGTGTGGGTGGGGTGGCCGGGAGAGATAAACTCCTCTGGAAAGTAGGTTAGGGCCAGATAAGAGGGCCTTAAATGTTGCTAATGTCTCCACTACTATAACTACCCCCACCGGAGGCACAAATTCTTCTTGCAAGAAGAGGGCCAAGGGGAGGAGGGGCATTTGGGGGCACCCAGGAGTGAAGTGAGCTCACTTCTGTGGGTCCCCCTTCTGTAAGCTGGCACCTGGTCCTTGATGAATGAGGAGAGGGGAAGACTGATATGTAAAAGAACTTGGTTTGGTCCAACCTCAAGGCTGGGGAGTTGAAAGACTGATTTTCCACAAGATCTATCTCTGAGCCCACTAGCTTTTCTTATCCCAGAAAATCAGAAGAAAAGAATTCTTCCCATTCTGCAAGCTCCAAAAACTTCACTCCCTCAAGAGGAGCTCAATTTATCGTCTTTAGTTCTCACCTGGAATCTCTAGGTAGTACTGGGGGCAGAGGGCAGTCAGTGGAAGTTCTTGAAGTCATTTTTAATATTACAAATGGCAAAAAAATTAATGTACTGACCCGGGATGAGATGCACAGTTTAAAGAAATTCAGGGTTTTTTTGTTGTTGTTGTTGTTTGTTTTGGGTTAGAATTGCATCTACCCAATGTAGTGACGCTGGTCATCTATGCTGATTGCAAAGATGTGTCATTTAATAAATGCAGTTTGTATGAGAGGATCTTCAGTGCATGGAAACTGTGGAATTATAGTATTAATGATAAGAAGTAGTATTTGAGCAGATTG